CGGGAGCAGCCTCGATGGCGTTTCCCTTCGCGCTGCTGCACACGGAGCAAACTTGGCTCCGCGGAGAAAACCAAAGTGGAACAAGTGAAGTGCAGGCAAGTGGCTGCGGGTCCTAGTGGGCGGCTGACTGGGAGTCACCGGGTAATCACCACTCAGCCTGAGCCCAACCTCCTGTCCCAGGTCACACCCCAAACCCTCTGCACCCCTGGGCCATGGCTACACTGGCAGCTTCTTGCACAAGAACTGTTTTGCAGAAGAGTTCTTGTGCATCGCTGGAGGAGGGAAGCTCCGTGCCAGGACAAGGGGCTGTGAGCGGATGCCAGCCTGCCCCGCTGACACGTGGTGGTGCCAGGCCTGCGTGGGCCCTTTTCCAGCTTGGCAGAGGGACGTCTGGACACTGGGGAGCGTGCGAGCCTGCCTCTTGGTCTAGAACGCACCCAGCCCAGCACAGCCCGCGGCCCTGCACACGTAACAGGCCACTCAAGGAAAGGGAACGTTCGGGCCATTCACAGAATGCAGACCTGCGCGTGTAAGAACGTTTGTGCACACGTACACTGCGACCCGTGCAAACACAGGCGCCCACCCCTGCACTTAGTAGAGACTCGTATGTAGACTCCAATACCTGCATATGGCACAGGGACACTGCGTGCACACTCAGGGACACACATGCACACGCAGAGACGTGTGCATGCTCAGACACACTTGCACGGGGACCTGCTTTCACACTTGTGCTCACACGCATGCACAGAAACACACCCGCTGGCTCGGCCCGCAGCAGCCAGACTGATGCCTGGGCAAAGCCTCTAGGAATTTGCTTTTCTGTCCCGCTCGTTCAGGCCGCGTTGTGTGCTGCTGTTGTTTTGCACTAATCTGTGCGCCAGTCCCAGCCCGGGGAGCAGACGGTTCTCGTGAAAAAGCAGAAACTGAGAAAGAGCTTCCTGCAGCTCAGTTATTCTCTCTCCAAAGCATCCTCCCTTGTAAGCGAGCCCAGGGCCTGGCCCCAGTCAGCGAATTCAGCAAGGGGCGCCAGGGAAAACCGGAGGCAGGATCTAATGTGTCCCCAGAGGGGCAAACATGATACGCCCCCATGGGCAGTGGGTGATGGAGGCAAGGGAAGGCTTTGCTTTCCCAAAACTGCCTGCACTGCCCGGCCACCAGGGAAGGCCGGGGCTGGGGCCGGGGCCGGGGCCAGGGCCCCCAGGTGGCCAGGAAAGATCAGCCTGGAGTTGGGCAGGGGCACGGCTCCATGGGGCAGGGGAAGGCTGCTGAAGGGGCGGGGCCTGAGGCAAAAGGGGCGGGGCTGGAGCGTGCCTTTCCCAGCTGGGCCTCCCCCAGGATGCCCCAAGCTCCACCAGCATCCCGGCGGGAGGCGTCTCAGCCGGTTTTACGGGGCGGTAAAGCGGCTCG